TCAGTTCTTTTGTATATGTTGAGACTTGCTTTGTGTCCGAGTATGTGGCAGTTTTGGAGAAAGTTCCATGAGGTACTGAGTAGAAGTTATATTCTTTTGTGTTTGGGTGAAATGTTCTGTATAGATCTGTTACATCCATTTTGTTTATGGTGTCAGTTAGCTCTAGCATTTCTATGCTTTATGTTTTGTCTGGATGACCTGTCTATTGGTATGAGTGGTGTATTGAATTCTCCCCCTTAGTGTGTGAGGGTCAATATATGATTTAAGCTTTAGAAGTGTTTCTTTTACAAATTTGGGTGCCCTTGTGTTTGGTGCATAGATGTTAAGGATTGCAATGTCCTCTAGGTGGATTTTTCCTTTGATGAATATGTAGTGTGCTTTCCTATCTCTTCTGATTAGTTTTTGTTTGAAGTCTATTTTGCCAGATATGAAAATGGCTCCACCAGCCTGTGTATTAGGTCCAGTTGCTTGAAATGTATTTTTCCAACCCTTTACCCTGAAGTGATGTCTGTCCTTGATGTTAACATGTGTTTCCTTGATGCATCAGAAGGATGGACCTGTTTTTCACATCCATCCTGGTAGTCCATGTCATTTTATTAGGGAATTGAGACCATTGGTGCTGAGAGAGATCAATGACCAGTGATTTTTGATTTCTGTTATTTAGTGGTGGTGGGGGGGGTGTATATGTGTACACGCGCTTGCCTGCATGTTTCCCCTCTTTTGATTTGCTGGTCTGGAATTATTTATTCCCTCTGTTTTCTTGGATGTAGTTACCCTCTTAGATTGGAGTTTACCTTCTAGCCCCCTTTCTGTAGGATTTGTAGATAGATATTGCTTAAATTTGTTTTTTTTCAGGACTGCCTTATTTTCTACATCTATGGTGATTGAAAGTTTTATTGGGTACAGTATTCTCAGCTGGCATCAGTGGTCTCAGAGTCTGCATCACATCTGTCCAGGCTCCTTTGGCTTTAAGGTCTCCATTGAGAAGTCGGGAGTGATTCTAATAGCTCTGCCTTTATATGTTACTTGGTCTTTTCCCTTTCAGCTTTTAATATTCTTTCTTTGTTCTGTATGTTTAGTGTTCTGATTATTTTATTCTGAGGGAACATTCTTTTCTGGTCCAGTCTATTTGGTGTTCTGTATGCTTTTTGTACTTTGGTAGGAAACTCCTTCTTTAAGTTAGGGGAACTTTCTTCTATGATTTTGTTAAAAGTATTTTCTGTGCCTTTGAATTGGGCTGTTTCTCCTTCTTCTATTCCTATTATACATAGATGTGGTCTTTTCATGGTATTCTAGATTTCCTGGGTGTTTTGTGCCGAGTTTTTTATATTTAATCTTTTCTTTGACTGAGGTATCCATTTCTTTGATTGTGGCTCCAGTGCCTCAGATTCTTTCTTTCACTCTTTGGTAAATTTTGCCTTTATGGTTCCTGTTTGAATACCTGAAGTTTTCTTTTGCAGATTTCCTCCAGCTTGGATTTTTCTTATTGATTCTATTTCTACTTTCGGGTTTCAAGGGATTTGTTCATTCCTTCTTTAAGAACTCTATCATATGCATAAAGCCTGTTTTAAGGTCTTTTACTTGTGCTCCAACTATGTTGGAATTCTCTGCTGTGATTGGTTTACTGGGTTGTAATGGAGACATACAATGAGTATAGCTCCTGACATTACTAGGAGGCACAGTCTCACTGCAGACATCCTGATCCTCTGGCTCTTACATTCTTTCTGCCCCCTTTTCCTCAATGTTTCCCAAGCCTTGAGTGAGAGTTACTTTGTAGCTGTATTCATTGGAACTGGGGTCCACAACTCTACATTTTGGTTGGTTGTGTTTTTCTGTAGTGGTCTTTGTATGTTGCAGAGATAAGCTCCCTTGATGAAGGGAGAGGACTGTACTTACCTGTGAATATAAGGACAAATGTTTAGATTGTTGTTAGAGATTATGCTGGTATAGTAAAGTAGTGGTAGATAGCTCTCTCATCTTGTGTGATTACCTTTCAAATAAAGCATTTAACATGATGTCATAGCCAGTTTAAATCCTCAGTCTGATGATTCCAGCATCAGTGTCATAACTGTTTCTGATGCTTTCTCTCTCTTCAGACTTTTTATTTGGTCTTGATTCTTGTCCTTTTGTGTTGCCCCCTAGAGACAGTCCACCTCTTTTATCTCATAAAGATATTTTCACTACTGTTTCATCTTGTTTTTTTTTTTTGTTTTGTTGGTTTTTTTCTGTTTTTTTGGGTTTTTTTTTTTTTTAGATTTCTTTAAACATTTTATGTGTATGTGCCAGAGTCCAGCTCCAGATGACTGCAGGGTCTGAAGATGGGTAGATGCAAGAGTGGCCGGCAATGGGAGGAATCAGATGCAGGACACTTCTTAGTTTCACTTTAGGAGACATGGACAGAGAGGAGGCACATCTCGGTATGGCTTGTCCTACTCTGACAGGAACCATCCCCTGCAGGACAGGTCCCAGGGAGGATGTAAGGAGTTGGTGAGGGAAGGTGGTGAGCCAGGCCATGGTGATCAGAAGAATCTTGCAGCCTGACTGACTAGCAGCCAGGGTGCTTCTTTATTTATACAGGATTTAGTAAGCAGGGATACATTCATGATGTTCCAAAACATAGATCATATCATTTTTTGTTTTAGACATGTGTTTCACTTCCTTTTGCTCATCTTTTAGTCATCATTAATAAACTATGACAGAACAGTTATCATTTCCAAACATTTTTCCTCAAGTTTTGACATCACTAATAAACAGAGTTTATGTATTAACCCTATAACCCAATTTTTAAGAATGTAGAGGCATATGACAGCCTGTTCTCCGGCTGGTAGCTTTGGTTGTTTCCAGGATGCTAGACCAAAACAAAATCTTCAAAACAGCCAGGCATATTGCCATGCCCCAAGCAGTGTATTATTGACTCCTTTTTTGTTTGTTTTTGTTTTTGTTTTTCGAGACAGGGTTTTTCTTTGTTGTTTTGGTGCCTGTCCTGGATCTCACTCTGGCTGGCCTCAAACTCACAGAGATCCACCTGGCTCTGTCTCCCAAGTGCTGTGATTAAAGGCGTGCGCCATCACCACCCGGTATATTATTAACTCTTAATGGTCAGAGTGCCCAGGAAAAATCCTCAGGCTAAAGCTGCTGCAGTTATCATTCAAATTCTTACGTAATACAATGTTTATATTTTATATCTTTATAGAATTTGTCTATATGTCTAATCCTGGCATTCTGTTGTTCCTTGGTCATATTCCACCACAGTGGCTCTGCATGTGCTAACTGTCCTAAGAGAGGGAGGTTTTGACATCTCATTCTTTCATCATCTTCCCACTTCATACTTTGCTCAATATGTCTCTGTGTAGGGCAGAGGTATATGCCACATAAGTGTCTGAGTTGTATAGTGGGAAGAGGCTTGTAATCTGAACTGTGGCCAACTTCTTTAGCCCACCAAATCTTGTTGACTTTTTGAGTTTACTTTGTTTTGATATCTTGTTCCTGTGTAAGTACACGGACAGATGTTTCAAGAATGTCTCATAGCTTCATGAAGAGACCTCTGGCTTCTTTAGATGTCATTATCTCCAAGGCGTAAGGAAGACCTTCGAGTAGATAAGGATATCTTTTTAAAAGTGGGGGGAATAGTATGTTCAGGGCTGTCCTGGGGAAGCTTAGAAGCAGCATTCCTGGGAGAAGGCATAAATGATTCATAAGAAGTTTTCCATCAATCCAACATCCCCAAATTGTACAAGTATTAAAAGTCCCTCAAGTATGCAACAGGTGGGGATGAAACCATAGGTGGCATGACGGCCATCATGTGACTCAGCTTTGCTGGATCTTTGTCAGCTGTGCTGGCTTTATGACTTCTGCCATTCCATTCAGATATGGCTGTGTCATGTATGCGTGCTTTGCTGCATGTGTATGTGCTTGTGGAGGGCAGCAGAGGGCAGCAGAGGGCAATAGAGTCCCTGGAACTGGAATTACAGGTGGGTTTTGGCTGACACATGGTTGCTAGGAACTAAACCTGGGGCTTCTGCAAGAGCAGCAAACGCTCTCAACTGCTGAACCATCTCTCCAGCCCCCTTCACTACTACTTTTCCTGAAGCTATTTAGTTTGGTAGTGAAGAATGGGGAACTAAGATGTTCTGTTATTAAGTCTCAGTCCTAGGCAGGCTTCCCTTGAGTATGGAAGGTGTGACCATCACAAGTGTTTTTGCACTCCCAATGTAATGAGTAGGCCTAGCACCCTGCTTGGCAGGTATATTTTCTGTATTTCTTCCCACTTCAGAGAGTTTCATCGGTGCCCTTAACTTTTGTTTCGCCTCCTTCTGCAGATTGAAATATTTTCCCTCCCAGGTAAGAGAAGGTAAATTGGTCTGGCCCAAGTTCCAGGAGAGAAGGGGTAGATTGATCAGGATTGGCTTTCAGGTTCAGTAAGTTACCACCAGTGCTCTCAAGCTACAGTTTCTCTTGCCTTTCCCTTAGAATAGTAAGGCTTTCCCCACAGGAATATGGAGCAAATATTTTGGGCAGAATGTGAGCAATGGTTATTGTTCTGTTGTCTTCCCCAAGCCAGAACTATACAATACTTTTCTCAGGATTTTTCTCACTCTTCTCTGCCAGCACCTAGAGGAAAATTGAAAAAAATATTTAAAGCTGTTTGTCTGCAGTCCTTATGAATGTCACATTAGCAATGCCCTAGCAATTCGTTAGTCATTTTATCTGGATCTTCTTATGAGTTTGTATGTTGTTCAGCAGTGTCTGTATCAACTAAGAAATGCCAGAGTTCTATTGCCCTCTGCAGATGCCTTTTTTTTACAAGTTTAAGTTGACTATCTGCACTGCAACCTCAATTTTCTGATGATTCTAAGAAAAGTTGCGATGCCCATTTAAACACCCCCTTTTTTTCTCATAATGATGAAAGTAGTGTGGTTTCCAACTCTACATCTCTAAGCTAATAGCAGATGAGCCTCTAAGTGTAGGGATAAGCTTTTGAGGATCTGTTTGTCTTACAGCATCCATACCACAGTTCACCAATTCTCCCACAATGGTGATCATGGTGGGTTTACCAGCTCGAGGCAAGACCTACATCTCTACGAAGCTCACACGCTATCTCAACTGGATAGGAACACCAACTAAAGGTATGTCTCAGAAATCATTTGCTATACATCCCCAACACAGGCCACTAACTGAAAACTGAAGAAGGTAGAAGGCCATACCTTTCAGTACAGAAAATGCTGCACACCCTTGTTTCCAGGATTAGAACTTCTACCACTGCTATTACCACTGTCACAACAGTCTTATAAATTATATCATTTCATGAAACTATGTTTTGTGCCTAATACTATGCTGGGATTTAGGCATAGAAAAACTAGTATTAAGACTAAATCTGCTCTTCAGAAGGCTCGCAAACTCAAAGCAATCCTCTGAGTACTGCAAGTATTTTTTTTTATCACAACTACATTATCCCATCAATATTACTATTGTTTTATGTGAATTGGTGTTTTGCCATGGATGTCGGGTCCCCTGGAACTGGAGTTAAAAATAGTTGTGAGCTGCCATGTGGGTGCTGGGAATGAACCCAGATCTTCTGAGAAGAGCAGTCAGTTCTCTTAACCATTGAGCCATCTCTCCAGTCCCCTATAACACTTTTTATCATTATAGTTTTTCACTATTTCATAGTTAAAAAAATAAGGCCAAAGAGGTGAAATACCCTTTCTAAAGGGACACAGTTATAAGTGACAGGATCAAGATACAATTGATTTCAAATCTGACATTCTCTGCTAGGTCTAATGCATGACTCTATTGAAGGGAAGAGAGGGATCCTGTACTCTCCTTTCAATCATGATTTTCCTCTTATCCTTTCTCTCGTTTGTCCCATCATTGTGTCTACTCCATCTATCCAGTCACCCTTCCCTCATTCCCATCAAGCCTTCTCTCTGTTTCTCCTCTTTTTTGTGTGCTAGGGATTGAACTCAGAGCTTTGTTTATAATAAGCATATACTCTACTACCAAGTTATACCTGGCACCAAATCTTCTCTTCCCCACCCCACCCCCCATTTATCCTTCCTTGCCTTTCATCCACTTTCTCTAATTAATTCACTAAAGTTTTCCATGTGCCAAAACCCATGCCAAGCATTAGGAAAGAAATAAAAATGGGTGAGACTCAAGTCCTGTCCTTGAAGAATTCTAACCCTGAATGGTATACATAACAAGTCCTAGGCTGGACTAGGGCTTCTCAGATGCATGCTGAGGGTGCTCACAGAGGGAATTGCTGACTGACAGGCATCAAAACCTTCATGGGTAAGAATATATCTAACATGGGTCCTGTGGGAGGAGGGGAAACTTTGATGAGGCAAGGAAGGTAGGAAAGAGCCATTGTCTACAGAATTGCAAGCCTGAGGAGCTTCTACTGAATGAAGAAGCACATGACATAGTGGCAGATGTGCCTCTGTCCTGATCCCCCTTTTATTCTGTTTCTTCAACTTAACTGCTCACATAGGTCTTCAGAGTCATATTCCAAAGTACAAGACTGATAACACTTGTGATCTCCAAAGTTCTCCTTGGTCTGCAGTTTTGAAACCAAGTCCTTTTACTTCTGTTCAAGACCATCCACACTTCACCTATTTCAGATTTTCAGGCCCCAGCCACAGTGGTTGACCCCTTTCCCCCAAACATACTTTGCTTTCTGCAAATGTTATACCTTTTTTGGAGGAGTGTCTAACTACTTGTAATCTACCTATAATGTCCTTGCTCTCTACCATCACCCTCTTACCCACCAGTAAAAGATACCTACCCCAAAAGGCCTTGTTCAAATAGTGCTTTCTCTTCAATACTCTAAGCTAACCCCAAATGTAACCTTTTCCTTCCCCTCACTCTTCTGCATAGTTCAGTATTGTCTCTGTTGGGGCACTTAAAGGATTCTGTAGGAGCTCCACTGTTGCCTGATTTGGTTACTGTCTAACTTTTTAGTTTATAAGCTGCTTGAGAGCCCAAACACAAAAATCTAGGTGTGTGTGTGTGTGTTTGTGTGTGTGTGTGTGTGTGTGTGTGTGTGTGTGTGTGTGTGTGTGTCCCTATCCCTCCGTCCGTCTGTCCCAAAAGTCATACCACTCTTTACAGAGTAGGTGTCTGTCTTGGTCACTGTTCTATTGCTGTGAAGAGACACAATGCCCACGACAACTATTATAAGACAAAACATTTAATTGGGGCTGGCTTACAGTTTCAGAGGTTTGGTCCATTATCATCATGGCAAGGAGCATGGCAGCATGCAGGCAGACATGGCACTGGAGAAGTAGCTGAGAATTCTACATTTTGATCCACAGGTACAGAGATAGAGAGACTGAGCCTGGCTTAAATTTTGAAATCTCAAAGCCCACCCCAGTAACACACTTCTTCCAACAAGGCCATACCTACTCCAACAAATTCCATACCTCCTAATCCCTGATGACTAAGCTTTCAAATATATGAGCTTATGGGGGTTATTCTTATTCATACCACCATATTCCATTCCCTGGTCCCCATAGCCTTGTAGACATATCATAATGCAAAAGTGCATTCAGTCCAAATTCAAAAGTCCCCATATCTATCACAGTCTCAACACTGTTTAAAAGTTCAAAATTCAAAGACTTCTGTGACTCATGGTAATCTCTTAACTTTAACCTCCTGTAAAATCAGAATAAAAAAGCAGATCATGTAATTCCAGTGTACTGTGGCATAGACTATGTATTGTCATTTCAAAAGAGAGCATAGTGAGGAAGTACTGGACCAAAGCAAGACCAAAACGTAGCAGGGCAAACTCCAGATTCTACATCAACATGTCTAATGTCAAAGTGTTCTTCACATCTCCAATTCCTGTCAACTGTAACACCTCCCTCTCTCTCTCCCTTGGGCTGGTTCCATACCTGCTCTGCAGTTCTCGTTAGCAGGTATCCTACAACTGTGACATCACCAACATCTTGGGGTTCGCAGTACAATCCTTGCTTCACCTTTACAGCTTTACACAACGGCCTCTCTGGGCTTCCATGCCGGGGCTCTCCTGCTACAGGCCTACCCTGAGCTACTTTCCTTAGCCACAAAGGGAAATAAATTCTAGATCCCTTTTCTTGTATCCTGGACTCTATAGCCAGAACCACGTGGCCAAAGCTGCCAAGTTTTTATGCTTATTGGAGCTGGAACATGGTCCCTCATTCAAATACATTTTCATTTTCTTTCTATTTTTGATCATTTTCTCCACTGCTTAAGCTTTTCTTAATTCCTTTTCACAATTTGGAAGCTTAACTTGCTGGTGCCTTTCCCTGAGGTCACCACTCCCTTTATTTCATCTAGCATCAGGCTTTTCTTTAAACTTTTTATCTCTTTGAGCACAAAACTTAGCTCCATTACACTTCCTGGTGCCCCCTTTCTCCTCAAACTATACATTTTGTGATTTTCCTTGCTCAGTTTGTTCCTTTTCATTATAGATTTACATAAGACTAATTAGTAATAACTACATGACACAGTCAATACTAGCCTGCCTTGAAATCTCCTCTGCTGGGTCCATTAATCTAAAATTCTTCAGTTTAGCCTGAGGCAGATGTGAGAGACCTACCCATTTCTCTGTGGGAGGCCCACTCCTGCTTTTCCCCAGGGTACTCTTGAGGAGGGAAGAGGGAGAAATATTTAGATAGAAAGATAGAGGAGAGAGAAACCGATAGAAACACAGGATAGCCTCAGGAGGGCCTAGGGCAATATTCACTGGCCCCTTCTGTCTCTTCTAAAGGGCTTTTTATAGGAATGCCAAGGGGTGGAGCAAAAGACCTCCCCCTAGCATGACCAAGTGCAGATCCTTCCAGTCACCTGTAAACATGCACGAGGTCAATCCATCCTCTAATGCAGCCCTGCTCGGTAAAGCAAGCTCAGATCTCACTAGGAAACCTCTGTATGCCTCCACAGGCAGATTTTTAGGACAAGGGCAAAAACCCACCACATTTCTTTGCCAAAATATCACAAGAATGGTCTCTATGTCACTTGCTAAATATCTTCCCCTCTGAAACTTGAGCTGGGTCTCAACAATTCAAATCACCCTCAGCACTGCCTTCTATACTTCTGCTAGGCTGGCCCATTAAGCCTTGCTTAAAGCATCTAACCACTTTTCTAGTTCAAAGACACAGAATCTTTCATAATCCTCCAAATAACAACATGATTTGGCCCATCATAGCAATACTAGGCTCCCTTTCTTTGTCACTGTTCTATTCCTGTGAAGAGACACTATGACCAAGGCACTCTTATAAAGGAAAACTTTTAATTGTGGCTGGCGTACAGGTTCAGAGGTTTAGTCCATTATCATCATGGTGGGAAGCATGGCAGCATGCAGGCAGACATGGCCTGGAATAGTAGCTGAGAGTTCTACATCTGGATCGACAAGCAGGTAGAAGAGAAAGTGACTATGGGCTTGGCATGGGCTTCTGAAACCTCAAAGCCCATCCCCAGTGACATACTCCCTCCAGTATGGTCACACCTCCTACAACAAGGCCATACCTCCTAATCCTTCTCAAATAGTGCCACTCCCTGATGACTAATCAATCAAATATATGAGCTTATTGGAGCCACTTTTATTCAAACCACCACAGTATCCTAAATTTATTTCTTGGATGCATGAATTAATGAAATGTGATTTCTTTAGCTGTTTATCCTCTTTCTCCATTCCTTCTCTGTTTTTTTCCCCATCACAAGTGGGAAAGTGCTTTTTAGAGATTTACATTTAGATTATCCCTTATGATATAAAATGGTAAAATAACCTTGGTAACTGGGAGTCAGGAGACCCAGTCTGTATATGTTATCAATTCACTCTTGGTTTGACCTTGGATAACTGATTTTATTCTCTGTATCTCACTTCTTTATCTTCCCTATTGAATAGGACATTTAAACATTGGAATTTATAATAAAGTAACATAGCTTATAATCAAACAGACTTGAGTTTCAATTCCAGATTGCCAGTTATTAACTTGAAAGCTGGTTTGTACCTCTGAGCTTTACTTTCCTCATTTGTAAAGATGAAATGTTTAACCCTACTTTGCAGGACTAATATGAGGGAGAAAATGAGTTGGTACCCATAATTTGAAGTTTTATATGTATATTTTCCTTTTATATGTACAATTTCCTATAAATTCTGCCATCTACCTCTGAGGTTCCTTCCAGCAAGAACATATTTTTGGCCACTCCAATCTTCCCAACCTCTTCACTAGGGTTTCCTGTTTTCAGTGTTTAATTTAGGCCAGTATCGACGAGAGGCAGTGAGCTACAGGAACTATGAATTCTTTCTCCCAGACAACATGGAGGCCCAGCTTATCAGGAAGTAAGTGCCCAACATTTAAGGACCTGTGCTGCCCTTCACCTGAGGGGGACCTTTCTTCATATCCTTCTAGGGGAGTAGGATAGAGTAACCTGCTCTTCCATGGGTGTCCAAGCTTTTGATATTGCAGCATAGTGTGGTCATCTACAATGTTCATGCTTGAGAATTACTCAGTCAAGTTATGAAAAATAGGAAAAAATGCAGTTTCAGTGTTTTAGGTAAGTTTACAATTTGTGTTGGGCCACATCTCATAATTATCCTATGCCATGAGTTGAACACCCTTGTGTCCAGTCTTTCTGCCAGCCTACTTGAAGTCTGCTCTAGTAATAGCCATTCTCTATCAAGAAGCATTTACAGTCTTCTGTTTCTGGTAAGAGAACATAGAAATTCTTACCCTAGCATCTGAGATTGAATGTTTCAGTAGCTCAGCCCTCTTCAGTCTCTTCAGTGTCATCATTTCAACTTTAAAGTCTCTTTTACCTATATGGATGTAAATACTCCTAGGTGCAACCTGGCTCTCAACTGAGTCCGCACTATAGACCCAGTAACCAATAACCAGTAAAGAGATTTTTTGCTGAAAGCCTAAGTATATTATGTTATGCCTATCATACCTGTGTTTACAATGTTGCCTATGCTGGAAATTCATTAACTCAAATACCACATCCCTAGGCCTACCTGTGTTCATCAACCAATTCAATTTGAGCTCCAGTAGCACACAGTTAGAGCCCTAAAACTAGGATGCTTTGATTGTTCAACTTTTCTTGTGCATGTCGTCTTATACATCATCTTAAGCTGTACACACAGAGTCAGTTTCAACTGTGACCCCTCTGTACTTAACATGATGCCTAGAACAAAAGGGGCTATGTAGATGTTTAACAGATGAATAATTTAGTGTAAAACATATGAGAGATGGTCCATAAGAGAACAGTGGTGAGGGGAACTCATCCTGAGAATAGGGATTGTCTGCTTCTTTCTCTGTTTTTCAGGCAGTGTGCTCTGGCTGCCCTAAAGGACGTCCATAAATATCTCAGCCGTGAGGAGGGTCATGTTGCGGTAAATAATCTTCCATTTTTCCCCCTCAAGCTGTCATTATGGAAAATAGATAATATGTACTAAGCATTTATTTATGCCATACATTATTCCAAGTATTTTGTTTATATTAATAATTTAATTCACATTGCTCCATGAGAGAGTTGTCATTATTATGCTCTATTTTAGATTCCAAAAGAATTACCATAGAAAGATTCAGTTGTTTCCCAGGTTGGTGCAGTATTTGTAGAATCCATACTCTTAAGCCCCATGCTTCATTGATTTGTCCTCAAGATTTAGCAGTATAAAAATTTTAGGCCGGGCGGTGGTGGCGCACGCCTTTAATCCCAGCACTTGGGAGGCAGAGGCAGGCGGATCTCTGTGAGTTCGAGGCCAGCCTGGGCTACCAAGTGAGTCCCAGGAAAGGCGCAAAGCTACACAGAGAAACCCTGTCTCGAAAAACCAAAAAAAAAAAAAAATTTTAGACTGCAGTACAAACATTACTGTCTTTTCTTCTATCAAAATTTTATAAACTTTCTTATTAAAAATCCTTGCAAACAATTACAAACATACCATACCAAAATAACAAGACCCAAAGTCTATACAACTCCATGGACTTCCATACAGTGTAGAACATAAGCTGTGAAGTATGTCTTTTGTTGTTGTTGTTGTTGTTGTTTTTTCTTTTCTTTTTTTACAGAGAGATTTGCCCAAACATCTCAGCAACTTAATGTCTTACTTAAATCCTTGGGTTAGAGGTCCTCAAATATGTGGATGCTAAGGATAGGGAAATTTTCCTGTTCCTGAGCTTTTCTAAGGCTTTTTAGGAAGGACGGGTCTCAACTGGAGAAGCAGCTGTATAATTGCTCTATCGCTAATTCATGGCTGTTATCAGAGCAAGTCCTTCTTCTAGGCCTGTTACTTCACCTGTAACATGATCCTAAGAAAAATCCCCAAACTTTTCTCGTGCCTTATTACATGTGTAGGGTGGAGGACATTTCTGAGCCGACAGTAAGGGCTCAATGAATGCTTTTGAAAGCGACACAAGCCAATTCCAACCCCTTCTTTTTCTTTAAGACTCTCTTTAAGTTCTGCCCCCTTCTGGAAGCCCTCCACTTGGAACAAAGGTGAATGAAGAATGGTATTCTATCAGCACTAGATTGAGAGTAAACCAATCTTATTACATGTCTCTAGGTTTTTGATGCCACCAACACTACCAGAGAGCGACGCTCATTGATTCTGCAGTTTGCTAAAGAGCATGGTTACAAGGTAGAGTGACATAGCCCTGCTTACCTAGAGCCAATCCCAGGGAAGTACGAATTAGGGCTCTTAGAGCAGCCAGTCTGGACCCGTGGGCTCAACATCCAAGTTTCCTGGTAAATTCAGAAACAACAGAGCAGTACAGAACAGGGGGATATCCAGGTTAGGCAGTGGTGGCTGGTTACTGACAGGCTGATACTGGGGATAGTGAGGTGGCAATGATGAAGGAGTCATGAGAAACGTGTAAGAACCAAAACCCAGCAGAAATCTGTGGCGATTCAGTTAGAGCCAGGCTGCCTCATAGGAGTCAGAATCCTGTAAGCACCATTGTGTGAAAGCATTCTTTTTAGAAATGTCCTTAGGGATGACTCAGGGATATCAAGAATGGGTATGCTTATTTGGCTCACCAAAAAGCTCTCTTTTTCTCTTCTAGGTCTTCTTTATTGAGTCTATTTGTAATGACCCTGACATCATTGCAGAAAACATCAAGGTAAGGAACACCAATTACCTTTCTTCCTTAGTCTTTTTTTAAAAAGTTTTAATTTAATTTACATTTAAATCCACATGTATGTATCTCTATATATGCACGCATACATTATACAAGCGTGTGTGTGCGCGCGCGCGCGTGTGTGTGTGTGTGTGTGTGTGTGTGTGTGTGTGTGTGTGAAATGTGTGAAATGTGGAATGCACATGCTGTGGTGTATATGTGGAGGTCAGAAAATAATTTCAGGTGTCAGTCTTCACCTTCTACCTTATTTGAGATAGGGTCTCTTCTTGTTCTCTGTTGCATTTTCCAAGCTAGCTGGCCCTTAAGCTTTTAAGGCATCCTCCTGTCTCCACTTCTCATTTCACAATAGAAGCACTGGGAATACAGATGCATACCACTTCATCCAGTGGGTTTTGGTGATCCAAACTTAGGTATTCATCCTGTGTGGCAAACTACCCATTAAGTCATCTCCCTAACCCTCAATCCTCCTGATTCTGTCTTAGGCTTGTCTCATACCTAGACCACGATAAACTTAAAGAAAGCATTCCTCTCCGAGATGCTCCTTCCACTTTGCATAAGAAGCACTCCCCTGACCATCCTTGCCCACAGTGTTCCTGTAAAGTTAGATGAAGCCAGCATCTATAGAGCCCTTAGAATGCATCAAGCACTAAGCTTGACTCTCTCAGTTTTGTTTTTTTTTTTTTTTTTTCACAACAAACCTACATGTTTGTTTTGGCAAATTTGAGTTGGCAAAAACTGGTACAACTCAAAAAAAAAATGGAAGTAAGACTGCACCCCAGCTTGGCTGTCTTTTTCACAGACCCATATTCTGTATTGTGCCCCACATTGCACATCAGAATCATTGCTACTTTTAACCTCTTAACTGCATGGTCTAGAATTAGATCACTAACAAACTTTTGTTGTTCCCTGCCCCTTCAAATTATTGGTGCTCAGGAGCATAAGAGACCTTAAAGGCCATCTCTTTCAACCTTTCATCAAGTACTTAAATTTTCAGCTGAGTATTTGTCTACATTTCTGTTCACACCTATAGTTGCAATAGTCATTGTCCTTAAAAAATGTAGCCCAATCAAAGTGAAATTTATCTCCCTGTAACTGCTACACATTTGTCCTATTTTTATCTCTTGGGATATATAGTATGTTCAAATCTTTATCCTCTTCATCCACACAATTATCCATCCATGTATTGATTCGGGAGAAACTGTACACCTGGATAGCCATTGTGGGCATTAAAAATATAGAAACAGTGAAAACCCTTCTCTTGAACTCACAGTCTAGTTAGGGACACTGACAGATATATAGATAGAGCCCTTGAGATTAGAGATGAGGTAAGGAGAAAGGGGTTGTAGGAACACAGTGGTAAGGGCCAATCCTGCATGTCAGGGGATGCAATGGAAAGCCTCCTAGTAGAGATAACAGCAATATCCTGATGTGTGCACAGGAGTTTTTACAGGTAAAGAATTGAAATGAGGAATAACATATACTAAATATGATACATCCAGGGAACTAAATCTGATAAAGCAAAATGTGTGTCCAAATAGGAGAGCAGTAAGGGATGGTAGTGAAAAGGCAATTGGATCTGTCACAATCCACTTGCTAAAATAGTTTATACTTTGTCCTAAAAGACACTTGGAAATGGTGAAGAAATAGGAGAGTCCCATTGTCAAATGTGCATGTTATAAATATCCTTTTGGGAAAAATAAATAAATAAATAAATAAATAAATAAATAAATAAATAAATAAATAAATAAATAAATAAATATCCTTCTGGGAATAGTGAGATGGCTCAATGGGTCAAAATGCTCAGCACACAAGCTGGATGACCTGAATTCAATCCCCAGAACTCACATAAAGGTGAAAGGAGAGAACCAACTCCACAAAGTTGTCCTCACACTCACCATGGCATGCATTTGTCCCCCAATGCCACATCATACACATATACATGCACACAATAATTATAATAAAATAATGATGTCAAATTTAAAAAGGAATGCCTTTCTGACTACCAGCAATCAGTCACAAAGCTCTAGTGAGCATAGGCCAAAGAGATTGGCTATTTAGAAAAGAGATTAGAGAGGCTTAGTTTCTGCTAGTGAGTGAGATTCCATGGAGGCTCAAGTGATTCAGTGGAGGGGTGGGGAATAAAGGAGGAGAAGATGGATACTGGAGGATTAGGAAGTGCCAGTCTTTGAGAAAGCCAATGACAACATATGCCTATTTTCTCAGCAGTGACTAAATACAGGACAGCCTTTATGATAGCCAGTCAAGATAGCAAGCAAGCAACTCTTCTGCATCACAGTTTCCTGTTCTCTTACAGATGTTTTTAAGCAGTGTGTGCTCTGGGAGTAAATACATGGTAAAATATAGCCCAGCTTCTCTTTGGTTGCCTAATTTTGTCAAACTCTAAGTTTCCATGCCTTTATAATGGGGTGTGGTAGTCAGTTGTATGTAAGAGCCCTTTCCAAGTACAATGTTAGGGTCTCTGTTTCTCCACATTTATCTTCTTCCCACCTTCTCACAGCAAGTGAAACTAGGCAGTCCTGATTATATTGACTGTGATCAAGAAAAGGTTTTGGAAGACTTTCTTAAGAGAATCGAGTGCTATGAGATCAACTACCAACCCTTGGATGAGGAATTGGACAGGTAAGAACCCAACAACACCCCAAAGTCAAGGACTAGAGCCTTAGCCCAGTTTTGATGTCTTATGGGACCTAAGGAAATGTCCACCTTTTGGGGACCTTAATTTTTCTATCCATAATATCAGAAGTGGGACTTGATATGTCTTTATGACCCCCTGTAGTCCAATTTTCCATGAAGCAGTGATTCCTTGATGTGGGATGTATTCATGAGGTGTCTAAAGTTGTGCCTTCCTATGTAATAGGCACAGATCGAGACTTGCTCCCAGAACAAATGCCTCCCTTCTGTGGATATTGTGTTGTTATTGCAGAAATACTAGTCACATGACTGTCACCTCAGTATCTAAACAGATTTGCTTTTTTCTTCCATCACATTCCCATAGTACCTCCTTAAAAGAGGCTGTGGTAAAGAGCTGAGATCATAAATTTCCAAAAAGAGGAAACTGAGTCTTAGGGAGCTGAAGCTACTTCCCAAGCTGTTACCATAAGTCATAGGTGAGGCTAGAAGTCTAATCACATAGTCTGTCTCCTATTGTTTCTCCTCTCATAACTATCATATATCTCTTAAATCAGCAAGTCTTTGGAAACTTTGCATGTTGAAGGTGTAAATAGAGCCAAATGAGACAGATTCTGTCCTTAGGTAGCTTTTACAGAGACTCAACATATGAAAAGTCTATAAAGCAATAAAATAAGAAAATTTGCTTTCATAATACCAGCTACAGATAGGGAAGTATTGGTTCGCAGTTTAAAGCAGATGTGAGTTTAGATATAAAATGTTCAAAGAAACTCTTTCAAAATGGGTTCTTATGAAAAGAGACTCTGGCCGGGTGGTGGTGGCGCACTCCTTTAATCCCAGCACTCGGGAGGCAGAGCCAGGCGGATTTCTGTGAGTTCGAGGCCAGCCTGGGCTACCAAGTGAGTTCCAGGAAAGGCACAAAGCTACACAGAGAAACCCTGTCTCAAAAAACCAGAAGAAAAAAAAAAAGAAAAGAGACTCTGGCTACCCATACTCTTTGAGACCCAAGTATGAAGTGTAAAAAGGCTGTAAATGGTCATTATTACTCTAAGAAGTTTAAAAGCATCCTTTCAGTCTTATCCAATGAAAATGTAAGAAAAATGGGTATTATCACTTTGTAGTTTGGGAAACTGACAACTAGGGATTGATCAGGTCAAACACTTGCCTGAGGCTGTATAGTCTATACTGTCAGCAATACAGTCTATACTGAATGAAGCCTGTATTTCCCAAATTTCAGCCTGCTTTCACCCCTCCACATCCTTCTATTACAAGAAATATCAAACGGGACTTAAAAATTCAGTGTAAGGGGCATGGCCTTCATGTGTAATTTTACAGATTACTCACTGTTCATGCTCCCAGAATCAAAGACACACTTGTTTCTCTCAGGAAGACATGTAATGGAACTTGGTTGTTTATGCTTTGAGAAAAGGGGCTTTTTCAGATTCCACAAAGGCACTGTGTAGGCTAACATCATAAGCAGAGAGGGGGCTGAAGGGAAAGAATGACATTAAGGTAACCCATATACCTAAGTCTAGACACCTAGAGGGGCACTGTTGGGTTTTGTCTGTTTCTGTTATTCTTTTGATAAGCCCATTGAGCCTGAAGAAGATAGATGTAGAAGGCCAGTTTTGTTTAATTATTGTTAATAAAATTAGTTATTAATTTATGTAATTAATAGACATTTATAGCTCATGCATCATGACCGGCTTTAGCAGTGCCTAAGGAAGACAAAGAAGCAAGGCTGTCCCTGTTTTGCTTTAATGCCCAGTAATGTGGAGAAGGTGGTGTATATACAGTTGACCCCAGGTGTGGGAACAGTAAGCCAGATGATTGAAAGAACTCAGAACAGGGAACTTGGCCCACCTTGAAGGAAGAATGCCTGGAAGAACTGGATTATTCAGTAGGCAAGCTAACCATGTGTTCCGGGCATCAGCAATGTTGGATCTTGCAAAAATAAAAAGAAAACTATTCTACAACCATTTGACAATTAGTATTTAAAAGCAGCAACAAAAAGTAGGCAAAAATAAAACCAAGGCCTCCTCATTAGTATAGTTTATGTATTTTATATTAAATTGCACATGTTAGGAGATGGACATGAACTTTTATAATAATTTGTTATGGAGCAATTATAAATAACTTTATATAGCTCTAAACTCCAAGATTTCTTGGAGAGAGTAAATGTCCTAGCTTTTGAAAGATGTATGCATAGGAGCTCAACTTTGGAAATCAGCAGGGTACATCATTTCAAGCAAAACGAAAAGTATTTTGAGACAGCTGGCCTAATTAGCTCTTAGTATGAAAAGAGGAGAGGAGTACTGAGAGTATTCCAAGTACAACAGCAGTACAAGAATTAAAAAGTCATGGGTAAAGTGTGATGCTGAGAGTGGTGAGACCAATAGTAGATAGCATGTAAAATCACTTAGGATGTCAGACAGACAAAGCTATGGAATTTGAGAATTCCCTTCGAAATACATAGAGTCTAGTATTAGGAACAGACAATAGCCAGGCAACATGATTACATCAGAGATCTTCTGCTTTTAGGCTCTGAGGATCCTAAAGAGATCACTGAAGTGGGACACATTCTGTGGCAAATTGCTTCTCTGTGTGCTTTAGTTTTCTACATGATGATCTCTTCTCTGAATGGTGGCTGTGAGGATTCATACATCTTAAAATCTCCCAGTCTCTGCAAGATACACAGAAAATATTCAACAAATGCAAGTGTTCTGTGGGAGCCACTGCATATGGATCCCAGAGCTGTGAAGGATGAGACTGTAGATGTAAATGACTTCTCTAGAGGATCAAGGAAGCAGCTCTCTGAAACCAAAACCATCAGCAGCCTTATGGGCCCGGGGTTGTTTGTGTCACCCTATGACTCCATTTTCCACACCTCTCTCTTCCCATGGAGCTCTCTCAGATTCTTACAGTCAAATTTATGGCTGTACAGAAGCTGTAGAAGTCTTACTTCATGGCTCTAAGTCTTCCAATCTGTTGGATCTTCACCCTGACTCCCAGATAGGTTGTTGTGTTTGATTATTACTCAGTATATAGTTACTAGAGCTGAACACATAACTAAGGGGACCACCAGGAACTTGGGGCCGTGACCACAAGTTTGCTAATGATGTTCTGCACCATTTCTGTATCCCTTCACACCAATACTTGACATACTGTGCTGTTTGTGACAAGAATGTTGACTATTATCCACGTGTTTTCAAGTGTATGTTTCTGACTGCTCTAAGTGTTCCCAAAGGGCAGATAACTTCTACCCAAAGCACAGTGCCTAAATTCAGATGAAAGTACTTGTGAATTGCAGGTGTAGACTATAGAGAAGAACCTCAGCCAATTGCATTGTGATTAGGAAAGGTAAAACAGCAAGTTGGCTCAAGCTGAAGAAAGGAGATGGTAGCCCACAGTGATGAGGTCCTTGGGGTTGTCAGGAACAAAATCTCTAGGACATATACCTAGAACAAGACTAGATAAAACATCTTGTTAAGTAGAAGCTGAACTCCAGAGGAAGATTGAAAGCAGGATGTGTGAGTGGGAATTTCTCTTGAGATCAGCTCTCCCTACCATCAGCACCTAAGATGTTTGTTTCTGCTTGGGTCTGGCCCAGTCATCTGTCCTACATCAAGATCTTCGATGTGGGCACACGCTACATGGTAAATCGAGTGCAGGACCATGTTCAGAGCCGCACAGCCTACTACCTCATGAACATCCATGTCACACCTCGATCCATCTACCTATGCCGGCATGGTGAGAGTGAACTCAACCTCAGAGGCCGCATTGGAGGTGACTCTGGCCTCTCCGCTCGGGGCAAACAGGTAAGGAGGGCTCCAAAGACTCAGGTGGGTAGACTAGGTGGGGTGGCCAATGCCTGGGTTTTGAAGAGAAGTATCCTTTGGTGGGAAAGGAGCAAATTATGATCGATCCTTTTCTTCTACCATTAGTCACTGAATCCTGTCACAGACATTGAATGGTTCCCATATGCCTACTGCTTCTGCAAAATCAGTAGCATGGTCCTCCAAGGCTGCTCAAATCTAGCTGCTTCTCAAGCTCTATCACAGAGACCACCCTTCCCATACTTGATGCCTCCCCTCATCATCCTCACCACTCTGTCCTTTGCTCATGCTCACCTTGCTGTCCCTTTTGGTCCTTCTGTCAGCTGGTAACTGTAAAGTACATAGATAGGTGACCTGAGGGTCTCAGCCTGAATCCCTCTTCTTTATGACTCAGTGTTGATGTTCTCCCCTACCCTATTTTAGAAGTCTGTGGTCCCCACCCTACTGCCTCTTACTCACTCCATTTCCTTCTAAGGCCCAGCTTCTGCTCCAAGATACAGTTCTCCAGGAAGTCCTCCCTATTTGTTCCTTATCTCATGGGTCACTGGCCTTTGGGAACATCTCTCCTAATTGTGGTCTATTACTGACTCTCTCTGGTCATTACTCTCCCTGTTCCCAGCCTGATATAGAAACCTTTCTATTATGGGTACTGGTTTTATAAAGGGATTTACTTCTCAGCTTCTGGTCCTTTACCCAGGCTTGTTATCACACATGTTGCTGGGGAAAACCACTTAGGGATAGCATAGGGAGGAAATGAAGTACAGGAGAGGCATTAGTGGTTCTTAGTGTCTTTTTTTTTAAGTTTTATTTACTTTTATTTTATGTGTATATATGTTTTGCCTGCATGTGTGTCTGAATTCCCTGTGCATGCCTGGTGTCCAAAAAGGCCAGAAGAGGGCATCAGATCCCCTGGAGTTATAGATTGTTGTGAGCCATCATATGGGTGCTGGGAGCAATAACAGCCAGTGCTCTTAACTGCTGAGCCAACTCTACAGCCCCTTACTGTTTTTTATTAGACACCTATATACAGCCACAGTATCATCAACTTCCACATGTATTTTTTGAATACCATCAGCAGTGTGAACTGAGCGTAACTGTCATTGTTTATGGATGAGGAAGCTGAGCAACAGAGACAGAAAGCAGCCTCAGGTCACGTGGTCAGTACAAGATAACATAGGCAGGACTGAAAACAAGGCCTTCCTGCCTTGCTTCAGCACCCCCACTTGAATAGGTGGGAGATGTCCTAAACTGGGACTGTCCCTGAAGCCCTGTCCTCAGAGAACCTTTCTGATCCCTGTGGACTGGAAACTTCCCTCTGGAAGTTGCCTCTGACCTGACTCTTATTTCTCATGCTCTCCAGAACAGAGGTTGATATCACTTGAGGTATTTTTTCATCTCCAGGACTTCTTTGCTATAGTTAGTCCATTTCTTACTTGCACAGCTCATTGGAAAAGTGGCCATGTCCACATGAGTACCTCCTGCACACACAAATGTGTGTGTGTGTGTGTGTGTGTGTGTGTGTGTATGCACACGTCAGACCTAAACCTTTACATTCTTCAGCCCACCTGCACCAGGCCTGGTTTTAAAGGCCAGCCACCCTAATCTCTATAACTTTCACTTAACTAGTACCTACTGTGTACCAGGAAATAGTTTGCTTTCCACACAGCTCAGAGACAAGGCTGGATAAGTGCATGATGTTTACAGTATATAGGTATGATATGAGGTCAGAGATGGGCACTCTGTAAGGGAGCTATTAGGGATTTGCCTTTCTCTTACTCTCTCAGGCAAGGGCTTCTTCTACCCATAAACACTGACTGCTGACTTGCATCTATCATACAAATTTGTGCCTATGACCATTTGTGCAGATTTACCTAGGACATGCCATGTTTGATTAGCACCTTGTACACAGGGCTCCCATGGCCCTTTGTGGTTCCCTTCTGCACTGCCATTGTTTCTCTCCCTAAGTGGCTGGATCTGGAGGGATTAACACTCCAGCATCCAAAACAGGGCTATGAATACTCAATGCATGTGTAAATGCCTTTTAGCTGGGTACCAGGATCCCCATTCAAGCAATAGGAATTCACAGCATCAGAGCACTGTCTTTCAGATCCTTCAATCCATACTTCCAGACTGTATTGTGGGCACTTATAACCTTAGAACCCCATTGTAATGGCCTGAAATCTGCTTCAGTGCAACTAGCTGATAGTTTCCTCCAGTCTCCAACTGAGGACAGGCTATGGTCACAGGAATATTAACTTTCAGGCCCAAGTGTAGCCCCAAGGTTACTCTTTGTGTGGAAGAGGACCACTGGAGATGGAGCATAACCAGAACTCCGTGATGTGATTTGATTAACCTCAGACATGTAGTAAAGATACCTAGAAGTGCTGGATGTCATCAGAAATGGAAAGAGAAAGGATTCAGACCACAGGGTGTTCCATTTGTTCTTAGCCTCCACATGTTAGAGGTGGGCCTCTTTGAATGAATGATTCACCTATTAGGGGACTCAATGAACAAGCATCAGTGTCCCCTACCCTAAGCTTAGATACTCTTTTTCACTTTCTTTTATCCTTAGTGGTTCAGGAAAAGATAGGGCTTTTATTTTTGACCCTTTATGACTGCACATATTTGTTAGATACAATTTACTATTTCCAAGGTAATTGTATATTGGCCCATCATCTTATGTGTTTAATATTGTATGTGATGAGAATGTTCAAAATCTTCTAAGGGTTTGGATATATACAACACCAATTTTTAGCAATAGCCACCTTACTGTGCATTGGAATATTAGAACTTCTTCTCTTAACTATAACTTTGTACCCATTGATCACTCTCTAACCATAACTTTGTATCCTTTGATCAGCCTCTCTGTATCACATCTTCTCAAGAGTATGTCTTTGTGTAATTTTTTTTTGTGGTGCTAAGAATAGAACCCAGCACCTCAATATCTGTTAGGCAAATGTTCTACCTCTGAGCTATAATCCCAGGCTTATCTTTATATAAATTTAATCCTCGTTTTCTTGCTTGTCCTTCAGTACTTCACCATTCACGAGAGATTTAAACTTGTTCTTATGGCTCCCATGGTCTTTCCCTTCTCACTTCTTTTTTCCTTTCTTTCCTTTGTACCCCTAGTATGCCTATGCCCTGGCCAACTTCATTCAGTCTCAAGGCATCAGCTCCCTGAAGGTGTGGACTAGCCATATGAAGAGGACCATTCAGACTGCTGAGGCCCTAGGTGTCCCCTATGAACAGTGGAAAGCCCTGAATGAGATTGATGCGGTAAGATGGAAAGGGTTAATGTCCTGGCATGTATGTATGGAGGTGGTAATTAATTCTAAGATTATCTCATGGGTTACCTCTATTCCAGGGAGCTAATTAGTTCATCAAACCTTGTTTTGTGTTTTGTCAACCAGCCATGTATAAGAGAGCATTTTGTGTCTTGGAGATCTTGTGAAGTTCAGCATGGGATTGGCCTGTGGGGACGTCTGTGGGGCATTTTCATGATTTTTAATTTATGTAGGGGGGCCAGCTCACATGGGCAGTATCATCCCTATGCAGGTAGATCTGGGCTGTATAAGAAAGGCATATTAATGTGAGCCTAAAGGCAGCAAGCAAGTAATCATGTTTTCTCCATGGTTCTTGCCTCTGTTCCTGCTTGAGTTCTTGCCCTGACTTCCCTTGATGATGGACTGTCATCCTACCCCAAATGCTTTTGGTCATTATTTATCATGGCAAGAGAACCAAATAGACAACTTAGATAAGGTAGTTGTTATTTTCTACATTTTGCAGATAAGGAAAATGAAAGTCAGAGAGGTTAAACATGTTGCCTAAAATCAAAATAAGAAGGCAGTGGTCATGTCCATAGGCAAAAGCCTCACAATAAGCCTCAGAATAGAAGCTTAAAACAGTCTAAAAGGATCTTTGTGCACTTTATTTCCTGTGAGTAATGTCCATTCAGAAAGCCTGACACTGCAGAGCTGTTTGTAATTTGTAAGTGTTCTATTCCCTGTCCCTGAAGGAAGCCTGGTAGATAGTCCAAAACGACAACAGCCGAGTCTGGTGACCCCAGGTACCAAACAAACAGAGTTTAATTAAAACTCACACACTTTGAAGGAAATGTCAGAAACAATATCACTTTTTACCACCAGCACCAGCAGCCTTGCCTATGGGGATTTCTCAGTAGACTTGGAAACTCGCAGAATTTATCTTCCTAGACCCACTCTGAAACCATTAAAAATTTCCTAGTTTTTGCCTTTTGAAGTATCTGTGGATAGATTTTTCCCAGAGATATTAAAATAGAGGGCAGGACAGGAAGGTTAAGGAAGGCTATCCAATGGGAGAGTTGCACTGTATCGTGTACTTGCATACAGAGTTTCAGACATCTGCCACAAGTATGCTTACAGGTATACACATATACTTCACAGTCACAGCAACCCTCTTCTGCCAATCATGTCTGCACCATATATGCACACACATCTAGAAATAAATAGAGGCACATCATATACATATATGCATTTCATATGGATACAGATGAGCAAGCCATTGACATGTACACAGCACTAATACATAGCTTCAGGCATAGTACCCAAATTCATAGACGTCAGACATAGTCACACAGATATAAATATATAGCAGAAATATAATGCAGAATGCACATATTCATGGATATATGCCAACAATACACATGAAGACACATGCCACAGAATCACCCACATGGGCATATTCTCATATACTTAGACACTCTGTACATACACACAGAGAATACAAGTGCACTACAAAAAATAGATATACAATATATACACAAACACAAGGCTTTGAACATATCTCAAGCACACTGATGTGTTTATCTAATTATCAATAAAAAAATCAGGAGTCAGATATCGGGGTAAGAACTTGAGTGATCAGAGAAGCAGAGAAGCCACCAGTCACCTCCTCTCTCCTCAGTTCCTCCATCCAAAAGGCCTGAGATCCTCTCTCAGCCCCACCTTACTACTTCCTGTCTCCTCTCTGTCCTCAGTCGAAGACCTCCCTGGTTAATTTGGTCAGCTAGTGGCTAGCTCCGCCCTCTGACTCAAAGCAAACTTTATCATCAGAATGCGATCACAATATTACACAACAGCACACAGAATAAGCATGCTGCACATGCTTACAAACACAGTAGCAAGTCCCTATTGTATATATACCTATATATAATGTACACATATAGAACTGTTGAGGCAGTCATAGGAAAATACCATATACTTAGTCTGAACACACCCTTCCATTTGTCTTCACACACACATGCCAACATACCTCACAGGCAACAGGTACAACTCAAGAGCTACACTCACAGAAACCCAGGTGTTATATTATTCTATAATCATTGGTCTATGAACTGTGTGAAAAGCTATGTGGATTTCCCTTGGTGATTATATTGTTCACAAATACTTTTTAATAGGGTGTCTGTGAGGAGATGACCTATGAAGAAATCCAAGAACACTACCCTGAAGAATTTGCACTACGGGACCAAGATAAATATCGTTACCGCTATCCAAAGGGAGAGGTAAAGTTGAAGGGGTGGTCTCACTCCTAGGATTCTTCCCCGTATCTTCATTCCAATTGCCAGAGTTTTGTAAATAGCTTTAGAAAAGCAAGGCAAAGCATGTTTTTCAGTAGCTGCCACTTGTCAACGTACATGATCATCTGATCCTTAGCGGTTAGGCAACCTAGCTCTCTTTTAAAAATATTCATTCATTCATTCATTCATTCATTCAGTGTGTGCGTGCATGCATGCCATGCCCTGCATACTTGTGAAGGTCAGAGAACCCATGGGACTCAATTCTCTCCTTCTACCATGTGATTCTGAGGATCAAACTCAGGTCGTCAGGCTCAGTGATAGTTGCTATGACCTGCTACTCCTTTTTTTTTAAAGCTTATAGGTATTATATACTTGTAGAAGAATACACTTTATCCAATGCCTTGTATTTGTCATGTCCTCATTGGACAACTTGAAGTAGCTCAATATACTCTAATTCTGTAATATTTTATTGCCAACTTGCCTAAAGTTCCAGGCTCTCTCAGCAGTTGGCAAGGAACAAAAGCTATTAGTTTAATCAACTTCTTGGCTACCATGTGAGCCAGACCATAATTTTCCTGTCTCTATATGAGATGAATGCTTATTGCTTTCAGTACAGCCTCTACTTAGCCAGTTCTGCATTTTAATTTATTATTAGTCATACTCCATCTCTGATCCAAAACCCTATGAACAGTTATCTGAAAATATGGACATCTGGGAAGATGAAACAGTAGTTGTTATGTTCAGTCACAAATCACTTTAGTATTTTCATCTTCATTCTCAGAAGGGACTTTATTAAGTTAATGTTAATTTGTTCTCATTTCCTTTATATATATTTTAGGCTGTGTTATTAGAGGCATACAAATTAAAAGCAGTGTTGTCTTCTCACTGAATTACATATTTTTATTAATGCTATTTACCTAACACAAATCTAGCTCTACATGGTATCTTCTAACCATTTTCTGAGCTTATCTTTATTTATTCACTTTCAACTTCTCTGAGTATTTTTATTTATGTCTCTTATAAGCAGTTTATAGTTGAATTTTGTTTTTAATCCAAACTGAAATATGTCTTTTGAATATTTTCCTTGGTATTACTGACTTTTTAACATTTGTTTCTATTATCTTGAACTTTCTATGCTTACTTTATTTTTCTCTTGCTTTCCTTAGGATTGAGTTTTTCATCAGTATGTGTTATAATCTGTTTCCAGATTCTTATGGAGGTTACGCTAACTTTAAAAAAAATCCATCATGGTTCTTTCTGTTTTTGAAGATATCCCACTAAGGGTATGAGGTCAAAATATTGTACTTTAAAGTCACTCCGAATAATCTGTTGTGTATTGCTATACAATCAACTTGAACATTTAACTTGTTATATTTCTTTCTTTTTTTTTTTTTTTTTTTTTTTTGGTTTTTTTCGAGACAGGGTTTCTCTGTGTAGCTTTGCGCCTTTCCTGGGACTCACTTGGTAGCCCAGGCTGACCTCGAACTCACAGAGATCCGCCTGGCTCTGCCTCCCAAGTGCTGGGATTAAAGGCGTGCACCACCACCGCCCAGCCTTATATTTCTTTTTTAATTAATTTTTTCATATAATATATTTTGATTATGTTCCCCCAACTCCTCCCAGATCCTCCCTACCTTCCCTCTTGCCCAACTTTATGTTGTTCATTCTATCTCTCTCCTCTCTGTCTCTTTCAGAAAAAAAAAAACACAAAAATGAAAATCAAACAAAAAACCAGTGAGACAGAAAATGCCAAAACAAAACAAAAAGCTCACAAAAACAAAACAAATAAAACATGGAGTTAATTTTGCATTGGCCAAATACTCTTGAGCATAGGGTCTGCTCCGAAGTGTGCTTGATATACCAATGACAATACATTGGAGAAAATTGATTTTCGATTTTGCCCATGGGTATCAGTTGCAAATAGCTTCTTGGTTAGGAGGTGGGACTCTGTTTCCACTTCCTCCTCTCAGTGCTGAGACCCTGAGTGACTTGAATCCATGTAGGTCTTGTGCATGCTACCATAGATTGATATGTGCATCAGTCCTGTTGTATCTGGGAGACACTGTTTTCTGGAAGTCATCCATCACCCCTGACTCTTAACAATCTCTCTGCCTCCTCTTCAACATAAGATCCCTGAGTCTTGAAGGGAGGGGTTAGATGAAGACATCCCATTGAGGATTGAGTGTTCCAAAGTCTCTCACCCCCACACATTGTTCAGTTGTGGGTCTCTGTGTTTATTTCCATCTACTACAAGAGGAAGCGTCTCTGATGAGAGTTGAGTGAGGTACTGATCTATGAGTATAGCAATATGTCATTAGGAGTCATTTATAGTTATGCCCCTTTAGCAGAATAATAGTGTTAGATTTTTTTCCCCATAGGCCAATGACCTATCTAGTGTCAGGTTCTTGGACACTTTAGCAGTGTCAGGTATAGGTTTCATTTCATAGAATTAGGCTTAAATCCAATTAAAAACTGGTTTGCTATTCCCTTGTTTGTGCCACCATTGCACTAGTATATCTTGCGGGTAGGTCACTGTTATAAGGCACAGGTTTTGTAGCTGAATAATATTGACAGTTACCTTTCTCCTCTGGTAGTGGGCAGAGTACCTTCCAGCACCATGAATGCTAGTCAGTAGGGGTAAAGCTTAGTTGGGCACCAATTCAACTTCTCTGTGTTTGATGACATAAGTAAGTTTTGTCTTCAGAAATAGGGCCTTACTATCAGATTGTAGAGAAAAACCAATAGCCTGCATTGTTTTGTGGCCTTCTGTGGGACCCCTTTGGCCAATGATTCAACAAGATGTAACCCATTCCTGGGACTGGAGTTTTTACTTGGTAACATAAGATGTCTAATTGAGACATTGTCTATCTTATTATACGGCAACTCCATTTAAATTCCTTTCATGTATGTGTATATTTTAGGAAGCTTCCACAGTAGAAGGTTTTTTCAAAACTTTTCAAAAGGCCTTTATAGTTAGTTGTCCCTCCCCATATTCCCTCCTTTACCCTACTCTCTCATACCCCTCCCCAAGGAAGAGGAAATAGAACATAGTGTTAGGGAGACACAAAGGTGAAACTAGAATAGGAGCATTAAGTATTTGAATATACATGACTAATGATCTAAAAACCAATGTCTCTGCTATCCCCCTAAGTAGTATAGGATCTTTCAAACTTCAGTAACTTCCTCTCCTTACTTATGTGTCTTATATTTTCATGTAGCCTCAATCTCTTAATCCCTGCTGTCATTGTAACTGTTATTATTACTTTATAAGTCATTTAACTAAATATTTACTGATCCTTTGATCATTTTTGCTTCTATCTCAAGTTCCATTTTTCCATCTTGTTATGGAAGTTTCTCTATTGAAATTCTGTCATTAGTACTTTCACCCTTCCTATTATCTAAAACTATCTTGGGAGTGGATCCTCAATCCTCAATGTTAATTGGTTACATATGAAACTCCCAGTTGATTATCATTTCCTCAGCACTTTAAAGATATTTCTCTCATTGTTTTATTGTTTCCAGTATGGCTAAGAAATTGTTCAGTTTCACTATTGTTTCTTTGCTCATTGGCTAAATGAAAAAAGCTTTATATCTTTGTTACCTTTAAGCTTCACTCTTCTATGTCTAGATACTTACTTGATTTACCCTCCCCACCTCCTCCCCTCACTTCCCTTCATCTCTCTCCCCTCCTCTCCTTTCCTCTCCTCTTCTTTCTCCCCTTTTCTTCTCTCCTTCCCACTCTCCCCTCCACTTCTCTCCTCCATTTCCTTAGTCCCCCTTTTCCTTTTCACTCTCCTCCCCTTTCCTCAACATCCCTCCATTCCTCCCTTTTCCTTTCTTTCTTTCTTTCTTTCTTTCTTTCTTTCTTTCTTTCTTTCTTTCTTTCTTTCTTTCTTTCTTTCTTTCTTTCTTTCTTT